CTATGTGTCTCTGCAATCGAGATTGCGTTACCAGTGACAGTGCTGAATAACTTATGCACACACGCTAGGTTTTGGTGGATTGCATGTGGACACTAAATAAGAGCACACAGAAAGCTCCTCTTCGATAATAAATCCAGTTAGATTTCCCGTGTTACTGTAACATCACAAAGTGTAGAAATGTGACAAAAAAAGCGAAGAAAAAATGTGATGTCTTAACAAATGGTTCTACAAAATGGGGTGTAATCCAGCTGTCAAGGAAACTCTCCTGACAAGTCCAAGCTCCAGAAAATAAAATTTCCCTGGTAGAATCAGTGACATCTAATGAGTTCTACGTTTTGCCGACGGATAATATCTGCAAGCAACAGTAGCCACCCTAGTTCCACTTCAAAGGTTTCGTAAGTTTTTACGCAAGAAGTGATTGGTAGCGGCCAGGACAAATTGGAAAACAAACCTTGGGGAGTCGCAAGAAATATCTAGTCGCGAATTCCGGTGTCGGTGATTAACTCCTTTGTTCGGGAGCAGATAAAATCGATGTTAGCGCTTTCCCATATGGCAAGCACAGCAGTGTTTTTGCTCGATTGATCGAATATGAGCTTTCTGTGGGTTCTTAATTTAATGTCCACGGTCGTAATTCGACTTTGTAGACATTTTTACAGAATGGTTTGGTAGGGGTCTTAGTTTTCAAAATTACGAAAAGACCCCAAAATTTACCATTAAATTTGACCTAAAACTCAGTGGAAAGGATGGGACAGGAGATAATTTGACAGATTAGACCTGTTTTGGTTACAATTTGACTTTATATTTCAACGGATTCGATTTTTAGGGGGTCTTAGTCTTTGTAATCTCGAAAAGTGGGGTATCGTAGGCGTGGGAAATTCTTTAAGTCCCATGTTTTAAAAAGACACTTCAGACATTTTTTATTCCATGTGCTCACTTGGACGACGCGCACCTGTCCATCCTGACCTGGGAACACCTCTTTCACTCGACCCAGATGCCACTGACCGCGTGGAGCATTCTGATCAACAACAAGCACTACATCCCCAACCTTCAGGTTTTCTTTGGCCTCTCTCCATTTCTTTCGCGTGTTAAGTGTTGAGAGATACTCTTCTCTCCAGCGCTTCCAGAACAATCTCACCAGGTTCTGAATCAGTCTCCAACGGTGCCTGGGATTAAACGCGATGTCATCGGCAACTTGAGGTGCTAGTTGTCCTCCTAGCTGCCCAACTAGGAAGTGGTTAGGTGTCAACACTGGCTCGTCTCG